CCCCTGGTTTTTATTGATAGTGGTGTTTTTCTAAAATTGATATTTTTGTTGACTGACACCATTTGCGCCAGTGCCCTTCTTGACAGAAGCATATGCTGGATTTTCTAACACTTGCAAAACTCGTTTCATCTTGCATCATTTAGATGATTTTAAGTAGTTGATTTCTCGTCCCTGCCAGTCGCAGTATCTCTACAGTCAGAGAATTTTCTTGAGTTAAGCGTAAACCGCTTTCTGAGAGAACTGTAGCCTCTAAAGCGTTGGCATAACCCTTGATAGTGTGTATGGCAAGGATCTTCAACAATTCATTCAAATTTTATTGTATAGACCGGCCAAAATTCATAAAGAGTTATCTCAGGAACTTTTCAAAGATGGCAGTCTAGAAGAACTCCTTAAACATTATTACAGAGACCCAACAGTCAAACATGAGCAAGCACTTGGGACAGCGGTCAAAGGAAAAACTTCCTTTTAAAAGGCAGAAAAAACTGCCAAAACCAAGTTTTAATTCACTGCTTTATGCACTTAACCCAATTGGTTTGTTTGGTTGAGGCAGCAGATGGTCCCAGCAAAAAATATTGTGTTTGTGAGCTGCTTATATGAAAAATCACAGTTGTGCTTTAATTGTTTTTACTTGAATCTGTCATCTTCAATGCAAATTTTTAAAGCTATGTAGCTAGCAGGATTCAGTTCACATTCAACAAATGTAAAGATCCAGCATCAAAGAGTCTCTGGGAAATCCTTCCATTAGCTGCCCTCAATGACTTTAAAAAGGCGATCCTCCAAGCAAAAAATCCTCACACAATTCACTGGTGCATAAATTGTTTTTCACTTAATATTGATGTAATGTTGGAAGAAGTTCTGTTAATGGGTTTACGGTTTTCAAAGTTGGAATATGCATGAAATCTCAACGTTTAATCCTAAAGAATATTTTCCTTCTTGATTTACTTAAAGAAAAATCACATTATGTACTAATATTCTGAAAAGCAACTCACCAATCTGAAAAAGATTACCAAAAGCACTAAATTTACGTGTGTTCCTCTAAGAACAATAGGGAATTTTGAAATTATGTATTCCCAAGCTCTGTAACCCGTGTCTCCTTAAAAAAGAGTAACGAAAACTAATTAATTAGCTATGAAATTTAAAAGCTGGGCTAATAATCAGAAAAACCCTAGGTAACGAATTACGGAACCTGAAGTAGTAACCAGGTCCAAAGAACAGCCCAAAAAAACAGGTTAAGTTTGAGAAAAAATATATACAAAAATTAAAGAACAATTTACAATTCCCTGCCACCTAAGCGCTTCCTGAGTGCAAGGCGCACAATAAAGGGCCCCAGAATAAATAACCTCCAAAACAAAAAGAGTCCATGAAAGTTCTGTGGTGTGTGTGTTTCTTGGATAATGTATTTTTTTTCATACCCGGTAAGGTTTAGGTGTGTTCTTATTTAATTTCAAAAATGAAGTGCAGATTAATGATGGTTCAAAAAAAAAGAATGCCCGGCTGCCACACCAAGGCTCTTGGTTGTTCACTGAATTCTGCGGTTGGTCGCCACTGAACTGCCAAAGGGTCAGGTTCAGAAATGATCTAAATCCCTCTCTAAAAAAAATATGATACAGTACAGATGCAATTAGTTATTTGTCATTTTGTTAAATCCGATCAACTTATTCCATTCAAATGTCAAATCAAATATAACCAATTGTAAAGGATATAAATACTCTAAAAATCATTATGTAAATGAATGGTACAATCACACCAAACTAAGATAGGTCAGACCAAAAAACAAACAATCATCAATCAATTATGTACCATCTAAGTATAGAAATAAATCATGAGATTTTAAAACAGAAATTTGTTTTAACCTTTTAAATTAATTTATGATCTTAATAACATTTTAAACATCACATTTTATATTATTCATTATTTTAAACATTAAGAATGAACTTCTGTTACTCAACATATCAACATGTGTATTGCAATAAATAATAAAAACCTTATTTACATATGATAAACAAAGGATAAATACTTCAATCAAATACTTTAATAACAAAAGAGTATAAATCACTTTAGCGTGGAATACTATAAAGATTGTAAGGGACTAGCTTAGCTGAGTAGCAGAGAGTAAAAAACAAAATAATTTGTTGTCATTTAGACACTTTAATTTCTGTTGACTCCAGGGTTAAGAATGGTGTTGAATTGTCAACAGAAGCCATAGAATCTATGAAGCACAGCCCAATACCGTTGCCATTGGTCAAAAAACATCATTTAAATGTCCAGGTGGAACTGTAGACAATCTGTTGGCGAGAAATTTAAAATATTCATAGTGTATATATACTATACATAATCCTGAAAATAAAAGAATCGTTTGTTTTTTTACTTAGAAAATGAGCACATTTGAAACCGCCATGTTTCTACAGTAGACAGGAAAAAAAAACAAACACGGCTCTAAAATAGGCCTTCACATTTTTCGCGGCCAACATAATTTTTGACACCACTTCACAAGCCTCATCTCAAATTCCCAGGTCATTTTATGATTATTGATAAGGTAAAAATGAACATGCCTGAATAACAAGGTAATCATTTTTTGAAAATATAGCAGAACTAAATTTTTTAAAATAAGCATTTGTAACGGTTATATGTAGAAAATCATTCACATGTGTTTAAACTGTTCAAAAAATAAAATGAGAAAAACGTTGAACTTGTTTGTAACTTGACCTGGAAATAATTATTTTATAGATTAAAATAGAGCTTTATGAATAGCACAGCTCAAAGATGGACAGCAGAAGAGGGAGAGAAAAGAGAGAGAAGAGAAGACAGACCAGAGCTGGACTTAAAAAAACCATCCCACATAAGTGAGGTGTCAGCAATTGGTAACACAAGGGCGCAACTTACCAAGGTGAGCTAGGGCTTACTTTTAGTGCGTCTTAAGCACTTACAGTTAACTGGAAATAAAATATAAAATAATGAAAAATTTTAAATTTCAAATTTAGATAGAATTATTCCTAAAAATTTCTCATCTCTAAAATTATTAGTTAATATTGGTATGTTGGAGTGTAATGGCAGTGTGCTGGGAGGAACAGGAAGAGGAAGAGAGCAAGTCTGCATTCTGGTTTAATGGTAATCCAATAACTAATAGTGGGTATACAGGTTTTGTTTTCCAATGTAAAAATAAAATCACATTATTTATTATGTAACAAAATAAAAGAGAATCACTTTACAGTAGACTTGAAATAGAATTTGATCCAATCATTCAGATGTTTGCTCAGAATGGTCTGATGAATATTGAACACAAAGTGGATGACAGTACAAATATATAGTGTGACTACACAGAACAACAGACAAATGGTTAAATCCCTGTATAAACAAATTATTTACTCCAAATCAGCACCATGAAATACATTTAGTGGCAGTTTATGTAACAAACATACTGTATGTGCAACTAAAAAAAAGTACAGTACGGGAATAATTAAGCATATTTGCTCTACATCAGCAAAAAAAGACTCAAATCAATAAAAGGCATGTTATTAAATAATCCTACAACATACAAAAACAATAACTATAAACAAACAATGACAATAGGACCATCACTGACAATAAGCTGAATTCCACAATAGTGAAACATGTCATAAGGTAGCACCATTCAACCCCATGGAAAAGACTGAGGCCTTTTTTGTTAACACACACACTGAGGCATGTGAGCTCCAGGACTATGTGACCAGGGCCGACAGGGTGATAATAATATTTTTAATGGCAGCTGCTGGTGACAGATAATTACTGTTGATATTATGTATTCAATGTTCGGCCATTTAAAAACAATTATTACTGGTTTACCCCCTGACCTTTACTGTCAGAGGGCACAAGCTTATAACAGAGCACTGAGAAATGAAGACGCCCATTTCCATCTGGTATTAGAAAGTGACCTGTATGTGGATCTGCTCAATGACATCCTGTGAAGGGCTGCTGAAGTTACACCTGGTGTTAAATGAGTGCTTTCATTATCTCAATTGCCCCATCCTAAGTCCCGCCCCTTTTTGCTCCAATAGGAGTTGAGCAAGCCTCCGTCAACTTCCTCCTTTTCTGTACTCAGATATGCTATGTGCTAGGCTAATCTATGTTGAAAAGACAACCAGATGATGGTTAAAAGATAAAAGCGACAAACAGTCACATCTCAAGTTGAAAATAGAGCCAAACGCTAGCTAACTAGCTTTCCAATTTCCATCAGTTGTTATTTAGCTAGTTTGTTGAAGATTTGGTGAGAAGGTAAGAAGCAAAATGCCAGTGAGTGGGCAGTGATCTGTTTGTGAGGGAGTGGAGTGAATGAAAGCTGTGAATACGATAAAACCTTTGTCTAGCTCATAAATACAACCTATCCATGTCTGTGTTACTCTATGGACAGTTGTTAGCTGTCTAACTGTTATTGTTGTAACTGAACAGCTCTTCTTTTGGTGTTTTTTGTCAGTTACCAAGCAGTTTCTGATGCATTAGCACCACTCTCTGGACTGGAGTCGATCCGGATTTGCACACAGCCAGGATAACCAAGACGGATAGTTATCAGATTAATTTTGCCAACGCATAGGATTTTATCCAGATACCAGACACTTGAAATGACAAGAAGATAGAAGAGGTGTAGACTTGATTTATGATTTGATTTGTATGACTTAATTTTAGTTCATGTGCACTGGCTGGTTGGTCCTGCTACCAAGCAGGATCACAACAGCCCTGCTGTAGCAAAGCATGTGTTCATGGCTGGGGCACAGCGTAATTTAAGCAGGCTTTTACCATGCCCATGGCCCCTCAGCATGACGGGTACTGAAACCACGCTAATGAAAGGTGTCCGTTCTCACTGCCATAACTGACCTCTTCTCACCTACTTACGGATAAAAATTAGAACAAAATAAGATTTGTGGCGCACAATTGATAATAAGAATTTAATAAATCTTAAAGAGTAATATTGGTTGGCAAGAAAAATTTTAAAGTCCATCAAATGGACTGGATCGGAAAAGCAAAACAAACCCAATGTACCCTTGGAGTGTATGTTTCTGCTTCCACCATTTTCTGCTACATGAGCTATCCAAGGCCCTCAAACAGAGCTGTGGATCAGTGGGTCTCCTATCATTAGCTTGGTCGATTCACTGTAAACCTACAGTATTTTACCATGGCTCCTGATCAATACTTACACAATATTACAGTATACTTAATTAATACTTAAGTATCATCATTTTACTTATGTATAAACCTATTTACTAGTTATTTGAAATTGCAACAGTTAGCTATAATACAGTACAACCGAGTAAAAGATACAAAGGAGAGCATAATTAAGGAAGAGGGAAAGCTCTGGCTGACTCATAATCCCATGTCATCTGATAGACCTGCCAGAAAGTCTACTTCAAAATCAAGCACTTATTTTCAATCATTCTGTGCAATAAAGCCGCCTTGAATGGCGTTCTAAAGGCTCCCCCAGTTTTTTTCTTTTTTTTTTGGTGTACAGCAAAAGAAATATTGGACATTTTCAAGTCTTCATCAAAACAAGAAGCTTATGAGCCCATTTAAAATGTACACTTAACATGTACTTGCCATTTTCTTACTTAAATACAAAAAAGTTCCATCAATAATAGAAATTGTTTTCTTATAACATTTAACAATATTAAAAAACATTTACAAAAAGGAGCGCTATTTGGAGGAAAGTAGGTGCATTTGGTCATTAGCTCTTGTGCAGTATTTTCTTGGCATAAAAGTCTCTACAGGTTTCACAGCAGCGCTGGTACCATCTCATGTCCTGACAGAGGTTCTTCTCTCGGATCACGCGACAGTACACTGTCCACTGGTCCCCCATGCATTTGTAGGTCAGAGCAGCTGAGGTTGGGGGTAGGAGAGAGGCAACAAGTCAGTATTCATAAATGACAAAATGCATGTTTTTAATTGTCTTCCAAAACAACCAATACTGGCGTATGGCCACTATGTGACAGAGTAGGTGAGAACATTATTGTTAGCTGAGTATTCCCCAATTAAGACGAGTTAACCATTTTAGATTTTTGTTTTGTTTATTGACTTTTTTGTATCACTTGTACAGGCCTGGAATCTACACTCTTTATGGTTGACTGAAGTGAAGAAATGACTCCTCTGTAAAACGTTACAACAAAGATGCTAACAGCGTTAACTTTCTGAACTTCTCTGTAACATCTGGTTACAAATATATTTGTGAGTAGGAGAAATCTTGTGCTACTGTTGATGTCCAGTGTGGAGACGGACACTGGTAAACGTGACTTATTTGTTGCGTCACATGTAGTTTAACGAGGAAATCCCTGTTTTTTTTAAGGGCACAATGGCCTGTTCATAACGAGACATGTCAAAGCTGGAAATGTGGGTAGTTCATTTTAGAAGTGGCGTGTATCATTGGTGGCACTTCGTTGGAGGCAGATTCTAGAAAAAGAGTCCAACAAACATCTGGATGACTCTGGTCAGGCCCCCCACATTTGGTGGCAGCACGTGGGTTCCAGATTTATAAAGTCATTGTCCGTTGTCGTATGACATCGGCACCAACTGCTGTTCACTCCTGCTTTACCTGGTCTTCGCTAGCAAGATAAACACTGTATCTGCGTCAGAGAGCATGGGTCATGGCGGGCCGCCATAGTCTAGTTAATTAACGGGAAGCACTGGTGCACGAGCAGCTGTAGATGAGCAGTATTGCGTTTATCAAAAGTATGTAGTAGGCGGTTCCCAGTACAGCCATGTCTAATAAATGGCTTATTTAGGCAGTTGCAGTTTGTCGGTATTATAGTTGTTTTTTGTCACTGATACAGTGAACACAAACTTACATTTAATTTATCTTTAAAATATCTGTTTTCAGTCACTATTGTATGCATACATGTATATAAATAACTGTATTTTATTTCAAATGTTACACTTTATGATTTTAATTATGTGGTGTTCTGTGTAGCATGAAGGGACTGCAAACTTTCATTTTACTGTACAACCTTGTGTGATTCTTAGTTAAATAAGTAACTCGAACTTCAGTCGTTGACCACAGTACACACGGCACACCTCATGAGAGCTGTAGCTGATGAATGCAGAGGTTTTCAGTTATGATCTGTACTCTCGCCAGTGAACAAGGCTTCTTTAACCTTTCAATCTGACTTCAGAACAGAGTTGTGACAGGTGCCTCACCTAGCCTGGGGGAGGTGATGGTGTTCACATTGATTTTCTCGTTGCAGGTGCCATGGTGACAGGGTCGGTAGGTCGGTGGTCTCAGCGTCACTGGGCAGTCATTGCCGTGACGACCAGTTACTTTGTGCATACACTGGACCACTCGCGACTGCAGGCCCTTCCCGCAGGATGACGAGCACTGAAAAAAACAATTAAAGGTGTCACTTCTTACTCTCTTACTCGAAGTTGGGGTTGTAGTCAACACAGGAGGTTCTCATTTCAACTTAGTATATACCTGTAAATCCCCCTAATGACCACTGAATTGTCATTTTTGGATTTCTGCTTTTGTACAAGTTAAACAATTGAGATATGTGTTACTTAGTGATCTTAACAGGTGTTAGTAGTTGTATTTTTGTACTTTAGACAGAGCCAGGCTAGCTGAGTTTTAGTAAACTCTAAACTGTAAAGATGGAAAATACTATCAGATTGTTTATTTAAACAAGTAGGAATATTATTTTGGTGCTCATGGTGTCTGTAAAATGAACTGAAGGATTGAATCATAAAGAATCTAACCGACCTAATGATGTGTAGTGTGTCCATATAGACAAAAGTCTAAACATTTATATTTGTGTAGGTGATCTAAGCTCTCTTTTTCTAAGATGAAAATTAGCTTGCTAATGTGAATTGTCCCTGGTAAATAAATAAATAGAACTCGCTCATGCAAGCAACCCAGTGGGCTTTAAGATGTTATATTATTTTTGTCAAAACATGTCGCCACACTAGGCTAATAAAGGGAACCTGCTTCTAATTGAAGTTTTATGGTATACAAACATGGCAGCCCACAGTCTGATGTGTTTCCTGCAAGGGAAAGGATTGCATGGTCTACTGGCTTGCTGCCATTATTGTCTTTCTGGCAGACTGCAAGCTCACAAATGGGATCAGTAAACGTGTCTTTATATGAAAACATAATTTCTGATTGTGAATTACAATTGTGTTGCAACTAAATCATAATTCAACAGCCCAGTGCTGCTCCAGGCGTACATATTCTAGCAGTGTTACTGCTGATGAAATATCTTAGAAAGGGAGCTTAGGGTCTAATGCTGCCATGTTATGAGTCTTGTGTACCCTGTGCAGCAGTTTTTCACAAACTCTGTATAGATGTCAGTCCGTGGTAGGTTGAGGCCAGGAGAAAACTGGAACATAAAGCCAATAATTTTTATTAGGTGCATGGAGCAGCTGGTAATCCTTAAAAATAAATAAAAAATGAAACAGCTGTGTGGTTTCTCCTGGTCTCACTGACCTGTTTCAAATTAGATATAACTTTGTCACTGCACAGAGTACAAGTACCGAAATGCAGTTAAGCATCTAACCAGAAGAAAGCAGTAAAGCACTTGCAGATGTACAAAAGTATAAGGGTAATAAAGTAAATTGACAGTAGGGGATGGTTAAGAATACGTTAATATACCATAAAACTTCAATTAGAGGCAGGGTTCCAATTTGAAGCAGGTCCTTTACTAAACTGGTGTGGCTACAGGTTTGGACTAAAAGGCAGGTCTTAATTACCTAACCTGGTCTGGATTTTATAGACGTTCTTTGGATGTATAAAACCTCTTAAAACCCACCAGGTCGCCTGCTTGAGCGAGTTTTAAGCTGCTTTGATCGCCTACATAAATATAAATGTTTAAACTGTCAGTATGGACATGCTGTACATCATTAGATCAGTGAGATTCGCCACAATACAATCCTTCAGTTCATTTTAAGGAAACCATGAGCACCAAAGTATCAAATTAATGATTTGTAATTTTATACAAGTAATATTGCTACTGGCTTAAATAAACAATCTGATATTATTTCCCATCTTTGCTGAGCAAGAGTTTTGTGTAAAAGGAATTAAAGGCCAGTCCCAAATAAAGGCCGGTTGAATTCAGTAAGTGAAGCACATAAAGCTACATTTGCGTTTATACCTTATTTACAGCTAGTATGCTCTAAATGCAGTGGTTGCAGAGTTTAACCAGACAAGAACAAAAGCTTCATTTTAGTCTGCCATTGAAGTTAATTAGTGACAACTGATATAATCTGCTGCCGTCTACATTTTTAGCCAGCCCTGACTAGCTGAAAGTTTTTCTGCAAAAAGAGAACAGTGTTCATGTGCAGGCAGCAAGTGAACATTTTGTCCTCATAGCTGATGTGTTAGAAGCAGGAGAAATGGGCAGCGTGAGGATTAGAGCGACTTTGACAAGGGCCACATTGTGATGGTGAGATGACTGGGTCAGAAGCATCTCCAGAACTGCACTCTTGTGGGGTGTGCGTTCCTTGGTCTGCGGAGAGGTCAATACCTTTATCAAGTGCTCCAAGGGAAGGAAAAGAAACCGGAGACAGGTTCATGGGGGGGGCAGAGGTCTCCACTGCATGCATCGTGGGGAGTGCAAAGGCTGGCCCGTGTGGTCCGATGCACAACAGAAGAGCTGACTGCAGCTCAACTCTGCTGAAACATAGTAATTGCTCGGTTCTGATAGTCCGTGTCAGAACACCCACGTGCAGGGCCAGTTTGTTGTATGGGGCGCTGCAGAACATTCTGAACACTCACGGTGCCCAGGTCGCACAATTGTTATGCTGATCGGTGTATACGTGTCATTCCCAGGTCCCATAAAAAAGCATCTGTATTTGACGACAAGCATCAATGTACTTCTTTCTGGCTCTGAGTTGGTTGTTTTTCATTCAGGCCTGGTGGGATTCTTGCAAATGCCATTAGGAGCACTCGGAGGAGGCAGAGGAACCTGATTTTCTTTTTCAGACTGTCTCACATCATGAAATGAAATTTTAGGCAAATATGATAATATGACGATAGTTATTTTCATAAATTACCGACTGCAGCTTTAACCTGTAACCAAACCCCCTTTTCCATTTGTGTATTTTCATAGACTATCAATGAACTACATTCACTTTTAAGATTTTAAAACACAATGATTTTTAGGTTATTATACTCCAATGAAAAAATCCCTATGAATATTATATTCTGTTGTTGCCAATAGAGCATACTTAGTGTTACACACTGGAGCTTTAATAGCCATAGTCTGACTCACTCGTAATATTACCAGACAGGATTTAGATATTACGGCCACCATTGACCAGGAAAATTTCATCCAATTATTTCTATTCACCAGTGGACTTGTTGAATTGCCATAATTCATAATCCATTGAAGTAATTACAGACCTTACATGGCAGTGTTGAGTCACAAGGCTGCTGTAGCTACTTCAGTTTCTCTTGGTCAGACATGACTCTCCAGATCAAGAAATGTCATTAAAAGTTAATAATACTGTGATAGCAGCAGTGTAATGGAGCTCACGTTGCCTCAAAACAACTCATTTGCCAAGCATCATTACAGCCTTAAATGAGTTGAGCGGTTTCCCCACAGACACGAGGAAGTGATAATGAAAGAAGCACAAATAGAAACCACAGCATACTTATGGACAGTGGAGGCCCGAAGGTCAAAGAACTATTCTTGGGACTGATGTTTGAATCTACTGATAGAATGGGAAATGTGCTTGGGTGTTTAATTCGAGAAATCGACTCATTCAACACTTTTGCACTTGATCCCAATTGGTAAAAACAGTGATGCCCTGTTTTTTCATGGGACTCTTTTAACAGGCTGGTCAGGAGGAGGTCATGTTTCCCTTAGTTTATTATTTTTTTTACCGGCAGAAATTAAAACGAAAAGGAATTGTTAAATTGACAGAATACGTGTCCTGAAAACCCTGCAAACTTAGAGAGGAGTCTTCCAGTCATGGAAACACCTTGGAATTAATTAAAATGACCAAACATCCTGGAAATAATCTTTGTTCTCCTGGAAAACGTTATTGGATTTTACCCCCTCACTCAGATCACCTACATAAACAATATTTAGTTTGAAACTTGACAGTTAGTAGCTGCTCGGTGTGACACTTTGCAGTGGGTTAACCAGACGTGAAATAGAACAGAAAAATTTGTTAAACTCTCCCTTTTCATTTTGTCCTCGTCAATCTAGCCGTTCACACCAGATGCGGAGTGGATTGGATTTACAGCGATCTTTTGTGCGTCGTAATGAACCTAAGACACTTCATCATTAAAAAACAAGGAATAAACGTTAAGGTCAATGCCAGGCCCACTGGTAAATTATGACCGTTTGAGCAAGTGCTGTCTTGGAAAATTTCCTGGAAAGGCACAGTGAGTTTCCCAGAGCTGTATCTGAGTGAAACAGCAGAGTACAGTCTCTGGATATTTAAACACGTAGATCACAGAATTTTATACTGATGGTGTAACAACTACAGTTTGAACACAGTAACATAGGGGTATAGTAAATAGCCAATGTCTCTTATCCAACATAAGAGGACAACAGGAGCCAGTGACAGGTGTCTGAACTGTCCAGATGCTGACAACATAACTGATTGATGTACTCAAAGGGTCAGTTAGAGAGAAAACTCTAATCTCTCGTGGTCAAAACGCTAGGTTATTAAAGGTCCAGTGTGTAACATTCAGTAGGATCTATTGTCAATAGAAATGGATATATAATATTCATAGGAATGTTTTCATTAGTGTATAATCACCTACTAATAAGAACTGTTGTGTTTTTGTTACATTAGAATGAGCTGTTTTATCTACAGAGGGAGTAGGTCCTCTTCTGCCATGTTTCTACACTAGCCCAGAATGGACAAACCAAACACTGGCACTAGATATGGCCTATTGACTTTTTGGAGAGTTTCATGGCCACCATAGTTTCTCCTACAGGCTTGGAAGGTGAGCAGTTATATGCTAGATGTCACTAAATAGTTTACACTGGTATTAAATATTAAAAGGATAATGCAGTTTTATTACATCTTTGATCTTATTTTCATCAGCCTCACATTGCTAAAAAAACAAACCAATACGAGCATTCAGATAAGCAGACAGTCTGGAAACAACCTCCAGGTTAGTCAAACTTATTTGGAACATAAAACAAAGCAAACAGTGAAATTATAACCATAAACTTCCATCACAGTTTACAGACCCACTGCCAGCATTAACTTTGACCTACTGTACTTACTGCAGTTTTCCTGTGTAATGAGGGGTCATAAGTGTCATTTCAGACGCCTCAGTTTCTGTTTGACCTCCAAATAAATTGGTTTAGGTTATCTGGTTAAACTGTTGGTTTATTTCTAACCCGTCTTATTCAATTCAATTCA